TCCAGTCTGGACAGGTGAGTCCTCTGAGTCCAGTCTGGACAGGTGAGTCCTCTGAGTCCAGTCTGATTATTATTATTATTATTATTATTATTATTATTATTATTATTATTATTATTATTATTATTATTATTATTGAGTGGTTTTGAAGCTTAGAGCTCGTTGTCGTCCTCCATGTTTCTGGTTGCCGTGGCAACATAAGCGGGCGGTCGGGCCGGTCCTGGACGCACAACCTGCCACACACACATTCAGGAATGTGACCACGCCTCTCAGAGGACTTTAACCTGCTGTTCAGCTGGACCCCATGACCGTGTTTTTACACACAGTTTGTGTGTTTTTACACACAGTTTGTGTTTTTTAACAAACACTTTTTGTATTTTAACAAACACTTTGTGTGTTTTAACACCCACTTTGTGTGTTTTAACACATAGTTTGTGTATTTTAACACCTAGTTTTTTGTATTTTAGCACCCAGATTGTGTGTTTGTTTGTGTTATTTAATACCTAGTATGTGTAATTGAACACCTAGTTTGTGTATTTTAACACAAAGTTTGTGTGTTTTAACACCCACTTTGTGCATTTTAACACCTAGATTGTGTATTTTAGCACCCATTTTGTATATTTCAATACTTAGTATGTGTATTTTAACACCTAGTTTGTGTGTTTTCACACCATCTTAATGTGTAGTGCAGCTGAACAGGAGCAGCTCGGCGGTGTGTGTGGATGTGTGTGTCAGATTCAGATCTCTGATCCAGAACCAGCCGCTCAGGTTTCTGCTGGAACAGAAATATGTTGATGTCATGTTTTTAGAGTTGCTGCTGAGATGAAAGGCGAGATCAAATTTGGAGGATAAATGATGTGTACTTAGAGCTGTTTTTCACCTGTTATCTTCGACTCTTTGTTCTCATTCTGAATCCTTTTTTAAATAAAAACGTTCTGCTTTTTGTGTTTCTCAGAGTCCAGCGAGCGGCGACGGCGTCTCAGGTAAGAACTCTCTCTGGATTCTGTGATCACAAATCCCATTTTTCAAATATTTAAAGGAAAACTCTGCAGAAGTTTTAAGTTTGAACTCTTTTCAAGTTTAAACGCAATGAAAATCCGAAAAAAACGTGTGAATGCTTATCCTAGAGAGACTAAAACAGAAGGAAGGAAATGTTGTCAGGGACTATTTTCAGCTGCGGATGAATCCCAACTGAAGCTTTGTGTGTTCCTGGATCATATTTGATAAGAAATCAGGAACACAGACAGAAGAAGACTTTGTTTATTCCTGACAGATTTCCTTTTTTTACCTTTTAAGAAAAAACTCTCTGAAAAAAAATAATAAGTCGAGACCTCAGCGTGCCGCTCATTCCGGAAAATTATCTTTATAGTAATTCATTTGTCAG